GTAGGCGGCGGTGGTGGTGGTGGTGGTTGTGGTGTTGGTGGTGGCGGTGATTGCGAAACGCCACGGTGGCGAGGAGATGTTAACTACCTCGCCTGGTGTACAGGAGGTCGTGGGTTTGATCCCGACCCCGTGACGCCTGCTGCTGCTGTATATTTGGAGTTTGCGTGTCTCTCTCTCATCATCATCACAGTGGCTATCAGATGTTAACTACATCGCTTGGTATAAAGGAGGTCGTGGGTTCGATCCCGACCCCCTGACGCCTGCTGCTGTATATTTGGAGTTTGCGTGTCTCTCTCTCTCATCATCATCACAGTGGCTATCAGATGTTAACTACATCGCTTGGTATAAAGGAGGTCGTGGGTTCGATCCCGACCCCGTGACGCCTGCTGCTGTATATTTGGAGTTTGCGTCTCTCATCATCATCACGATGGCTAGGAGATGTTAACTACCTCGCCTGGTGTACAGGAGGTCGTGGGTTCGATCCCGACCCCGTGACGGCTGCTGCTGTGTATTTGGAGTTTGCGCCTCTCTCATCATCATCACGGTGGCTAGGAGATGTTAACTACCTCGCCTGGTACACAGGAGGTCGTTGGTTCGATTCCGACCCTGACGCCTACTGCTGTATATTTGGAGTTTGCGTTTCTCATCATCGTCGTCACTCTCCGCGGTGGCGTGGATTTTCCTCCGGTTTATCCCGTTCACCACTAAGTGGCGGTGACGTCACCATGGAGATTGTGCCAGGCTAGGTGCGTAGTGTCGAAGGCTCGCTGCTGGCAGGGGGTCACGGGACAGACGCCTGCTGCTATATCAGTGGAGTTTGCAGTGTCTCTCTCTCTCTTCATCCCGTGGTCGCGTGGATTTTTCTCCGGGTCCTCCGATTTCCCCCTCCACATTTACAATCAGCGTCACGCGTTTAGATTATGCGGCTGCTGTACATTTCCACGTTCAAAGTGCATTTATTAGGTATAGCCCTGTGAGCCATTCGGCTCTTGAATCGGGTGCAACCGCAACAAACAAAAAACAAAAACATGAACAAGAAAACATCTTAAAGTGACTATGCGCAAACAGAAAATCCGAGAAAAGACAGCAAAATAGTGGTGGTGATGATGATGACCCACTTTGTTAAGATATCATCTGCGGGCCAGGTCGGGCTACACAACTCCGCGGGGCCTGACCTGGTATTCATAGGTGTGCTGCATCAATGCGCCACGTGTACAGATGAACATTGAACGTAGGCAAGTCCCCGGCATAGGTAAATAATTCTACTATGAGACATCCCCTTTACCAGTGGCAAAATATAGTCATAGGTTTTTACCCTTTCAACTGGTACAAAAAACTGACACCTTTATACAAGGCATCATGTTTGCAATAACCACAACACAAGCAGTTAAAGGACAGTGCATATCATTCTCATCATCAGAGTTGTTTCTTTTTGTTTGCATTTTGACTGCTTGTGTTGTGGTTATTGCAAACATGATGCCTTGTATAAAGGTGTCAGTTTTTTGTACCAGTTGAAAGGGTAAAAACCTATTACTAGGTAAATCATTGTTACGGAGACACGGGCCCATGCAAGATGTACTGCGAACGATTATGACAAATGTAGGTGAAGATATTTTAATACTATTGAGGCAATTCTAATATGCACAGGTAAATGCTGGTAGGGGTAAGGCAGGGGACGGGGGTAGGTGTTTACAGAGTTATGACATGGACATGTAAGTGCCGGTAAAGGAATGGCATGGATAGGTGAATGCGATTGTAGATGCGGGTCCATACAGGTGTGCTGTGAACAGGTATGGGCAAGGCAGGCGAAGACTTATACAGGTAAAGCTGAGACAGATTGTAATCTGGGCCGGTAAATGTTGAAACTGGTACGGGCGCACACAGGTGTGCTGTGAACAGGTATGGGCAAGGCAGGTAAAGCGGAGATGCCCGTGTCATCTGGACAGGTAATTTCGCGTGCAGGTAGAGGCCTATATCGGTGTACAGTAAACAAGGGTGAGTGACGCTGGTTATGCGTTTATGGTTTTGGAGATACATACAAATATATGTTGAGATTGTGTCGTGTTTGTGTTGTTGTGGGTAGAGATGGTTGTGTAGTGATATTCTGTGTGTGTGCGTGGTAACATTGTGGGAGCGGTAGTGCAGCGGTTAGCGCTACGCTGCGCTACGAACTCGGCGACTCGAGTTCGATTCTAGCGAGAATTATCCGAACCGGTTCTGGGTCTTCTTCTAGATCGACTCAGCCTCAAATGAGTGGTGCTGGCCACCCACCCCTTCGTGTGCCGTGCCGGCCTTCATAGGTGCTCGCTAACAGCACTTGCCCCTATATTCTGTTAAGGCTATACGGGGGATCGTTGTCTTTGTGTTGTGTGTGTGGCGATGATGTATTGGGTTAGCATGCTGGTTATGTTGTGTGTCGTGTTTGTGTTGTGTGCAGTGATGATATTTATTAAGCTACTTATCAGCAGCATCAGCGTCATTATCATCAATCACCCACCTGACCAGTCACACATTGACACCATCATAACAATCAATACTAGCTCACACCAGAATCAGAATTTTGTTTTTATCCTGGAGAAATCCGATGAGCCATGAAGCTCTTTTCCCCCGCAGATGTCCAATCGAAAGTTACAACAACAATCAATACAAACACACTATGGTCATGCAAAGTACAGGAAACGAAAGCAAATCACTAAAAATAGATACGTGATATAGATCAAGTATAAGTTCACATTGCATAAGTATATCGATTCCCAAGCTGAGGACAGGCAGCAAAATAGCAAGACTGCATGTGTATGTATGTACAGGGAGGCCTCTACTTACACACGACTTAGGCTCCAGAGGTCTGTTCATAAGTCGATGAGTTCATAAGTCCAGTTTTGCTCTCGTCGATTCCAAACACGTTGTACGGTGTGGACACTAAACACGGGGAATGGCTTTAAAAGTTGTATAATCTCCTGCAGATGTAGACGCCACTGGTTCTTATGTTCTGCAGATGTAGATGCCACTGATTCTTCACGTTCTGCAGATGTAGACGCCACTGGTTCTTCACGTTCTGCAGATGTAGATGCCACTGGTTCTTCATGATCTGCAGATGTAGACGCCACTGGTTCTTATGATCTGCAGATGTAGATGCCACTGATTATTCACGTTCTGCAGATGTAGATGCCACTGATTCTTCATGATCTGCAGATGTAGATGCCACTGGTTCTTCATGATCTGCAGATGTAGATGCCACTGGTTCTTCATGTTCTGCAGATGTAGACGCCACTGGTTCTTCACGTTCTGCAGATGTAGATGCCACTGGTTCTTCACGTTCTGCAGATGTAGATGCCACTGGTTCTTCAAGTTTTGCAGATGTAGATGCCACTGGTTCTTCATGATCTGCAGATGTAGATGCCACTGGTTCTTCACGTTCTGCAGATGTAGATGCCACTGGTTCTTCATGTTCTGCAGATGTAGACGCCACTGGTTCTTCACGTTCTGCAGATGTAGATGCCACTGGTTCTTCATGATCTGCAGATGTAGATGCCACTGGTTCTTCATGATCTGCAGATGTAGATGCCACTGGTTCTTCACGTTCTGCAGATGTAGAGGCCACTGATTCTTCATGTTCTGCAGATGTAGATGCCACTGGTTCTTCATGTTCTGCAGATGTACATGCCACTGGTTCTTCATGATCTGCAGATGTAGATGCCACTGGTTCTTCATGATCTGCAGATGTAGATGCCACTGGTTCTTCATGTTCTGCAGATGTAGATGCCACTGGTTCTTCATGATCTGCAGATGTAGATGCCACTGGTTCTTCACGTTCTGCAGATGTAGACGCCACTGGTTCTTCATGTTCTGCAGATGTAGATGCCACTGTTCCTCATGATCTGCAGATGTAGATGCCACTGGTTCTTCATGATCTGCAGATGTAGATGCCACTGGTTCTTCACGTTCTGCAGATGTAGATGCCATTGGTTCGTTATGTTCTGCAGATGTAGATGCCACTGATTATTCATGATCTGCAGATGTAGATGCCACTGGTTCTTCAAGTTTTGCAGATGTAGATGCCACTGATTCTTCATGATCTGCAGATGTAGATGCCACTGGTTCTTCACGTTCTGCAGATGTAGATGCCACTGGTTCTTCACGTTCTGCAGATGTAGATGCCACTGGTTCTTAACGTTCTGCAGATGTAGATGCCACCGGTTCTTCATGTGGCATCTACATGACATATGGACAGGTCTGTTCGTATCTCTGGAAGTTCGTAAGTCAAATGTTCGTAAGTACAGGAGTCCTTTACGTAGAACTTCTTTCGCACCATACTCAGCCAACAATGCTAATCGGAGTTGCAGTCCCTGACCACACCAAGACAAATATCCCCCATATAGCCTTAACAAAATGTTGGGGCAAATGTCGTTAGCGAACACCTATGAAGGCCGGCACGGCACACGAGGGTGTGGGTGACTAGCAGCACGCCCGGCCGCCTTTGTCTCCCCAGTGGCGATGTTTTTACACACCGCACCAGGTACTCATTTGAGGCTGAGTCGACCGAGAGAAAGGCCCATAATTAGTTTCAGATAATCGTCACTGGTGTTAGCCATGAGCGGGAATCGATAACACACACACACCAGATTGCTGTGATATTCATCTGGAAGAAGAGGTCGCAAACCGGTTTTGATTCCTTATCCGTACCCGTACCCGGCCGCACCAGGGTCGCAAACGGGTACCCGTACCCGGCCGTACCCGTACGGGTATCGGGTACCTGATGGCGACCTCTGGGATGAAGCCATGTTGCAGGCGCGGGTGGGTTGATTCTAGGAACTTGAATTGTGAGAAGAGACAAGACGTTGGGAAATTAGTGACAAACGGTTACTCACCAGTGACTCACGGTCTACCCGTACCCGTACCCGGCCGCACCAGGGTCGCAAACGGGTACCCTACCCGATACCCGGCCGGGTACGGGTAGCCGGGTATCGGGTAGGGTACGGGTATCGGGTACCCGGTTGCGA